TCTTCTCTCCTTCGAGAAAGAATGCTCAGCTGCGCTGTGAAGGAATTGCAGTAAGATGAGTACGAGACAAAATTTATTGAGAATTCGGTGAATCACGAATAGTAAGATGTCCTAAATATAGAGGCAGTACAATTATAGGTATGTCGTATAAATACTCGTAAACAAAATTTTACAATTTATCGAATGAAACACGGATGTAATGATCCGAGACTGAACTATTAACCAACGCTATTCTTTTTAGAGAGGCGTTTCGGTACATATAAAACCTCCAAATCCTACTCACGTATATCATCAGCAGTTTTGAAATCTGTTTCTCTCGTTCTCACTTTTTGCAATTCTTACGTTGCAGAAGCAAAAGCAAAATCAAACAGTCCAAACTCACTCTTTTACTGTATTTCAACATGAAGTTTACCTCTCTCCCCATCCAGGCAATCGTTGTTGTTGCGACTATTGCCTCTGTCTCATTTGGATCTGTTGCCGCCATTGAATCGACTGACAAGACTGCCTGCGTAAACGCTGGCAAAACTTTCCTCGGAGGACTTTGCTACGAAGTCGGAGAGATTGAGTGCCCTGGAGGTGTCGATTGCTGGCAAGCGCTTGATGGTGACCGCAAGTGCCCTTTCAGCGATCCTAACCGACTCTTCAGGATTCCAGCACAATCTGAAACAAATGATGACAACAGAGTTACGTTTGACGAATGTTTCCAAGCATGTGTTGACGCAGCCGGGTGCTCCCACTTTTCCTATGGAGAGTTCCTCGTTGGTGGTCAAATGAGAAAAGTTTGCATGGGTTGCACGGACGAGCAAGGCAATTCGGAGTTTGATTCCACGGCACCAGAGGGAAATTCTCAAGACTTTACAGTCTTTCGCATGACTGATGTAAACGGAGACCCTCACTGTAAGTTATTCTTTCACGAATTGCATTATATTGCATTGCACATCGCAGCCTTGTGCCTTGACCGCTCCTTGATCCCACACCTTCATCTCATCAATTTTCTCATTTCTCTCCACCATATGCAGTCCGCACATGGCATAATGAGCACTTCGAGTTCCATGGACAGTGCGATCTTGTCATGACCAAGGTTCAGAACTTTGGCAACAAGCAAGGCAATGAGCTTGAGATCCAACTTCGTACCAGCATGGTCCGATACTGGAGTTACGTCAAGTCTGTTGCTATTCGCATTGGCAATGATATCCTTGAAGTAGAAGGATCAGCTGCCAAGGAAGACGGTATTGCTAAGCGTCATTACCACATCAACTTTGAGCACCTTGGACTCCTTAACGAGCTTGGTGGATACCCAGTCACCATCAGCCCTCGCAACAACAAATATATTATTGATCTTGATCAGGACTACCCAGGCCAAAAGATCGAGATCTCCACCTTCAAGGAGTTTGTTGGTGTCAAGGTTGTTGGTGCCAACGAAAACTCCTTTGGAAATGCCGTTGGTATCATGGGTGACTACAAGACTGGCAAGACTCTTGCCCGTGACGGTAGCACAGTCTTGAACGACTTTAATGAACTTGGTCTTGAATGGCAAGTCTTGCCATCTGATGGCAAGTTGTTCCATGAGGCCGCCAAGCCTCAATTCCCCGAACTTTGCTACCTTCCAGAAGACCCGCGTGGCGACCGTGCCCGTCGCTTGGCCGAATCTGAAGTCACCGAAGAAGCTGCCGAAGCTGCTTGCGCTAATTTGAAGGATGAATTTGATCGCAAGGGCTGCGTCTATGATATCTTGGCAACTCAAGACATGGAAATGGTTGGTGCCTATTAAAAACCTTCCTGTTGTGTTTGTGCTTAGATGGCCCTTCAACCAATTTGTTGGGCATAAGGGGGGCTTTTTATTTGTTCCATGACATGGTCCCCTCACAATGAGGCTGTGGGATCCCACGCACCTCACCTTTCCAGTAGAGAAAACTACATATAATAATATATTGAAACATTATGATCAGAAATGGTACAGTAGAATACATGTCATGGCACTTGTAGTTGATAGTTATGGCTAGTATGTACTACCGGGGGTATGATAATACAGCTGTAGAACAGGAAAAGTGGATGTCCACTTCTGTACCAGATTGGTTCACCGCACTAGAACTACATCAAGAATGCTGTGATCCACAAGAATTCATACAGTAACTTTTTGATCCCTACAGCCTACGGGTACAGCACTCATCGCCATGATGATCGATGATCGATGATAATAGTTGCACTTTGAACTTTGGAATGCAAAAGGCATAGCTGTTGGAATATTGGGCTCTCAGTAGACGTACTGACGCACAGACGCATTTACTACTCCGCTAGCTGGGACTCCAGTCACGACTGAAAATCGATGCTCTAGCTCTCTTCGAATCTCATTAGCTCTCTTAGAGATTCGATGCAGCAACTCTTTCCAAGTAGTTTCAAGTAGTGATAATCTCACAATTTATTAATTTGATTGCTTATCAACCAACTTCGTATAAAACTACCTTTATTGATTCAAAGCCCAATCCAGAGGCCTTGCTCCTGTGGAGCTGTCTCAGGATTTTAACACCCTCCCTCTGCGAGTCTAAAGGGCCCATTGCATGGTACAAAGTACTCGAAACGGCCCACTGAATCAAGATCCGTACATCCCTCGTCGCCGTCGAAGAAACAACCAAGTTCAGAACATGGCTGACAATCCTCCTCAGGGAGGCAACGACCCAGACCCAGAAGTTGTGGAGGAAAACCAACAACAACCTGCGCTAGCAGGCAATGCTGATGAAGCCGCGAAAGCTAATCAACAAGGCGGACAACAGGCTAACCCTCCGGTTCCCGATCTCCTAAACAACTTGATCGCTGCAGCAGCCGTCGCGGCAAACCCATTCAATCAACAAGGTCAACAACAAGGTCAGCAACAAGGTCAGAATGTCGCCGGTCAACCGCAAGGTGGAACCAACAATGCTGCAAATCTACTAGGGCAGCTATTGGCTCATCCACAAGGAATGAATCTACTAGGTCAGCTCATCACAAGTGCGACCAATCCAAATGCGACCAATCCGACTACCCATACTCCCCAAGAATATGGAGCTTTTCCATTGACTTCAGGAACTACTCCTATCGACATTGGAACTTCCTACGGCATCAAACAGTACTCAAAGGCAGTAGGTTCGCTCTACTCTAGTGGTGAAGACAAGTTCGATTTGCAACCAGCAAGATTACTAAATTTTATCGAGAGAATCCAAACTAGAGCCCTTGAGGCGGGATGGACCATCATCTTCCAGGTTCAAAATTCTGCAAGAAATAACGCTACTGATGACTTCCTGCAACTTCATGGACAGATCTGTATTGAAGATGTTCGACGCCATGAGCACGCCTACCTTGTTCAAGCTGACAGTTGCAGCAAGCAAAGCTCTCTCCACTTGCAGCTCTGCATCTACAAGTCGCTCACAGAATCTGCCCAAGCTAAAGTGTTGCGGGACAAAAATCTCTTCACCATCAACGGAATGAGAGGCGGATTGGCATATCTGAAGGTGGTCCTTCTGAGGACAACTCCCGCTAGCAACTCCAATGTGAACCACATCCGACGTCAACTTACAAAACTTCCCGAATACATGACCAAGGTTGGATCAAACTTTGAATCTTCACGTTTCCGAACAACTTGAGAACCTTGCCCACTATGGAGAGGAGTCCAAAGATGTCCTGATCCACCTGTTCGAAGGGTACAAGGCGGCATCTGACAAGTCATTGGTGTCGTACATTGAGAGAAAAGAAGAAAACTCCAAGACCACCAATGAACCCAAGCTCATGCAGGACGCCAAAAACTATTACAAGAATCGTGTTTGTGATCAAACCTGGAATCGCCCTGATGAAAACCAACAGGCGATCCTCTTACTGAAGGCCGAGTTCAAGCAAATCAAAAACTCCAAGAAGCCTGAAAGCGGCAAGAAGAAAGACAATGACAAGAAGTCCGGAGGTGGTAAGAATAAAGGCAAGGGCAAAAACAACAATAAGCAAAAATCTTCGATTGTACCTGCATGGAAGACCACTGCGCAAAAAGCAGAAGACAAGCTTAAAGCAAAGTATGTTGACGGTGACTCCAAGCCCTGGTATTGGTTTGAAGCCCTCAAGAAATACTGCCGCCACACTCCGGATCAATGCAACCAAGATCAAAACAAAAACAACAAAAATAACAAGATCAAGCTCAGAGCCGCCATGGCCAAGAATTACGCCCCGTCCGACTCCGATACCAATGAAGAATGAGAGCTCCTCAAGAGCACTCAAGGGTGGATTGTTGTTTGGCCGTGGCTTCGGTGGGGTCTGCTGTCTCAGTGGATCGCTACTTGGTGGAAACGCCTCCCGCTCTTCCTCCTTGCTACAGCTGTAACACTTCGTGTTGTTCTTTTTGGATGGCCCTGTGATGACTCTGTGCCATACTATGTTCCCAAATCTCAAAGGTGGACACGGTATGCATAGATGAGAAAGTGGGTCAGATACAAGTGGGTTTGACTAGCCAAGAAGTTTGGACTCACAGGAAGAAAATGGAATAAAAATGTCAGGGAATGTACCTCTCAAAACTTACGTGCCCAAATCAAGCTCCACTGACAGCTCCAGACTTGCAAGTCTAGCTATCAGTGGACGACTTATAAGTGGATGTCTCGCATCCAACGCTCTCAAATCCCACGAGAAATCCAACAAGCGCCCATTGCCAACTCGGTATTGGCACACCACACTCAGTCAGAGGGAGGCACACACCATCCAGCTCGCTTCGACACCGATTCACTGCCAATCGGCATCGACAACCGCTGCTCCTTCTGCATCTCCGACAAGGAGTACCACTTCAAAGATCTACAAAAAACACAGCATGTCATCAAGGGCTTCGGAAACCGAAAGACCATTGATGTCATGGCTGGAACACTGGTTTGGAAATGTTTAGATGATGACGGAAAGGAACACACATTCCGAATCCCAAATTCATTTTACGTACCTTCAGGCAAGATGAGATCATAAGAAACAAGGCCTTGGACAGTTCATTGAAACAACAGAAGGCGAGCTCTGTACACTGCAATGGGGAGACAGGTGTCAGTCAGTGTGTTTATCATTTATGACATCATGGTGGCAAGGCGTCAGAAAAAGGTCATGAAACGAGTGGATACTCAACACAAACTCGTCAGCGACATGTTCCCAGAAAAGTTTCGCGATCGATTGTACAAACTTGGAGATGGAAGCGATGCAGCATCGGATACCATGTCGGTTGGTGGTTCGGAATGGGCCACCTCGATTACACCTGGATTCAAATCATCTCGACCAATTGCTGACTTGTTTCTTGACACCACGGTCATATTTATCGACATTGCTGGCTTTACCGCTTGGTCGTCAGCGAGAAAGCCAACGCAAGTCTTCATGCTTCTCGAGCGCCTGTATTCGTCTTTTGATAAGCTGTGCCATCGATATGGTGTATTCAAGGTTGAAACGGTCGGAGATTGTTTTGTGGGAGTTTGCGGACTTCCAGAGCCAAGAAAAGTAAGATCATTAACACTGCTGTCACCTTATTGGACTGACAGCTTTTTAGGCCTTACTCACTCTTCTTCGTCTTTTCCTTCTGACAGGATCATGCTGTTAGGTGTGCAAAGTTTGCCCGTGAAGCATTGGCAATTACACCTCGGCTCTTGGCGAAACTGGAAATCACTATGGGACCCGATACCTCGGATCTTTCGGTTCGAATTGGAATGCATTCTGGTCAAGTGACTGCTGGAGTACTTCGAGGCGAGCGCTCAAGATTCCAACTGTAAGTATAATGCTTGTTGTGGGCGGAAGTTCGTTTCATACCTTTTGAATGACTTGCATTCTCACAAATGAAATTGCAAAATTCGAATTCCTTAGGTTTGGTGACACTGTCAACGTGGCGTCTCGAATGGAGACCTCTGGACTGCGAGAACACATTCAAGTATCTGCTACTACTGCCGCACAACTGACTGAACACGGGCGCAAAAAGTGGCTTAAGCAACGTGGAGAAATCGCTATTCCTGGAAAAGGCATGATGAAGACATACTGGTTAGAAACAAAGGCAGAATCTGAAGCTCGACACAAGAAACTCAATATGGCGAATTCCGAACATGGACACGGAAAAGCTTCGTCAGTTTCGTTCAATGACGAGTTTGCCAATCTGGATTCCAGTACCCATTCGGGGGCGTCATCCGAAAGCTTTTTTGACGATGATATTGACGACTTTGATCAGCTTGATCAAAGTGGGAAGAATGCAGCTGGTCTGAGCAAAACACAACGATTGATCGAGTGGAATGTCGAAGTATTGAAGGGTCTATTGAAGCAAGTTGTCGCAGCAAGAAAGCATGAGACAACCAACTTGGAGCCATTTGTCCAGATGGAAAAGAAGTTCCAAAGAGGAATGAGTGAAGATAAGACCGTCTTGGAGGAATTCGTTGAAATTATCTCGCTACCAACCGTTTCATTGAAGGATTTGCGCAAGCGCAAGGATCCAAACGACATCCTCCTACCAACTGACGTCGTTGACCAGCTGCGTTCTGTAGTCTCAGCGATTGCAAGCTGCTATGATATGGATGTGCCGTTTCACAACTTTGAGCACGCTAGCCATGTTACAGCATCCGTGGCCAAGCTGTTGAGTCGAATCACCACATCCGATTCCACCCAGCAGACATCTGGGCCTCAGGATTTGCATACAGAAGATATTGCTGGACATTCCTACGGTATCACGTCGGATCCATTGACTCAATTTGCGGTCGTCTTCTCGGCCATCATCCACGATGCTGGCCATTATGGAGTCCCCAATGCTCAGTTGGTTGCTGAGAACGACCCAATGGTGACCAAATACAAGGGAAAGAGTATGGCGGAGCAAAATTCAGTCGATATTGTCTGGGATTTGTTGATGAAGCCAGAATACGCGAGTCTCCGAACTTGCATCTATTCCACCGATGAGGAAATGCGTCGATTCCGTCAACTCTTAGTCAATGTTGTGATGGCAACCGATATTGCTGACAAGGAGTTGGGTGCTTTGCGTAAAGCACGATGGAACGTTGCCTTTGACAAGACCGAAAATGAAATGCTTTCTTCGGACTTGGACCGCAACCGCAAGGCCACTATTGTGATTGAGCACTTGATTCAAGCTTCGGATGTCAGCCATACCATGCAACATTGGCAAGTCTACATCAAATGGAACGAGAAATTCTTTGCTGAGTGCTACAAGGCCTGGCAAGAGGGCCGAGCAGAGAAAGATCCAAGTCTGAGTTGGTACGAGGGAGAAATCGGGTTCTTTGACTTCTACATCATCCCATTGGCAAAGAAGTTGGACTCTTGCGGTGTATTTGGGGTGTCCTCGCATGAGTACTTGAATTATGCGATTGCCAACCGGGACGAATGGAAACAAAAAGGGGAAAGTATAGTTGCTGGGTACTTGAAAAAGTACAGGATAAAAAAGACCAACACTGAAGAGGACATTTAAAAAAGGACTGTGCATTGTTGGGGTTGGAGTTCTACGTTGGATATATAATAGGACTGTCTAGAAATATAGTTTTTTAATACATCATAATACAGATTGTGGTTGCAGGTACTACTGTTTGCGTTGTGATTCATAATCCAAAGTTCTTTAGCAATACAACTAGATAGTTAGCATTGAGTGAGATCAATTTTGACCTCAGTGATATAATACCATCCTCAAACTTGTAAAATAATTTCTTCTGTACTCGATTCTTCGTGCGATGGTTTTTTTATCCAAGACATTTAGGTACCTTCTCCCGGAAGAAAAACTGCCCAAAGGCACATCGTAAAGAATGTGACCAACCCAAATATTATGAGCAATGAAAACATCAGTGCCTGGACAGTATCCTTTTTCCATCGAATAGCATTGTAGATGGCATCGTCGTCATCATCATCCAGTGCATTGTGTTGGATATGATCACATTTTGAAGCACCTACCCCGCGGTATAGCTATATAAAGGAATCCAAAGATGCCGCTAGCGATGGAATGCTTCAAACGCAAGGGGGTTCGATCTACCGCATTATGCTGGAAGAACTCGATGATCCAATAAGTCTGCAATCTCAAATCGTACGACGTACTCCCGAGTCTCAGTACGTTACCAGGTACCAGTACCAGGTACTCGTACCAGTCTAGCTAGCGATACCGTAAGAGTTCGGAGGACTGACTGACTGACCCGACTCACTTTCCTCACACTCACTCACTCACACTCACTCACTCACGGCCTGACACTGCATGTCTCTTCTCTCCTTCGAGAAAGAATGCTCAGCTGCGCTGTGAAGGAATTGCAGTAAGATGAGTACGAGACAAAATTTATTGAGAATTCGGTGAATCACGAATAGTAAGATGTCCTAAATATAGAGGCAG